CAAGTTGTCCCACGATTACTTGATTTTCAGGGTAAACTTTAAAAGAAAATACTCTCCGTGCGGTAGTGTGGCTTTGATGACGTATAAACACACGCGTCGCTGGATCCTGCCCGGGTGTATGGCGGAATACCACGTGATCGGCACGGCAAAGATCAACGGGGCCGGCAGAGAGTGGACCTACTAGTTATACTATGATTATAGTATTAGATAAATATTAAATTGTAATTTTTAATAATATCCAAATGCAATTAATTGCACTTGTCGCAAGTCTTCGAATCGATATCTATCGAGACGAAATTAACGGTGTTAACGGTGTTGACGATGACTGTAAAATTGCCCGAGCACCACGCGCCTGCGTTTCCTGAAATCTTGTTGATAGTCAACGTACCGTGAGTCACCGGGAGCATCTCGATTAAATCAGGGCACGAGAATCACTCGCGTGTACGTGGAAGGAATTGAACTCTGGCCCATGGTGCGATCTCGATGAGGTCATTTCAGCCGGGCTTCTGTCAAATCGATTCAGGATCGATCGCGAATGCACGGCCGGATGCGATCGAGTCGCATCACCCACGAGGGCGTTCTGGTATTTAATTGTATGGAAATTAGTCACCGTGGAAATGTATACATGCGCAAGGTTAACACGCACGTCAAATCACCTTCTATTGTTTTCTCTCTGTCTCACGGTCGTAAAACGTGCTCCGTTTAGGTAGTAAGTATTCTCGATAGCGATCAGACGGATTGAAAATATCGACGAGCGATCGGAAGAATCCGGCTCTCCAGATTGTTTAATGATCGGCGTAGCTACGGTGCGCTATTATTTATCTACTTTTCGTGATAAGATTTCGCGCCAGCCAGAAACAATCGCTATTATTCTCTATCTGTGACTGAGAGCGCGATTAATTATAGATCGAATGCGGTAGGTCCGTATCTTTCACGAAACTTTATTTCACGTTTGACTATTTTAAAAACGTATCAATATGCATTCACAGACATCAAATATCTGTTTTGCACGGATTACATTAGGATAAAGAAAAAGATAAAAGAAAGAGAGAGAGAGAGAGAAATATAGCCGAGATAATATATCTCCAAAAGCCCTCGACTTTCCTGCAATTATTAATATCTTGGAAAGAATATGTCCAGGTAGCCAATTATCTTTGTCTGAGAAACAGAAATGTGGGACGCTGTAAACGAGTTCGTCTCGGTGACTTTACTTTCGAATGGCGAGGGACGGAGGGCTCTCGGATAAAGTTTGTCGAAGACGGGCGAAGGATAAGGAAGAGCAGGGAGGAACGAGTTGCTCCAAGTTACTCGGAGCACAGCGGCTGTTCTGGGGATTGGGGAAGCCCTCTCGATTCTCCGTTGTGCGAGGTTATTCTCCGGTGTCCCGGGATCTAGGAATAGAACTCTACTTACAGCATCAACGCTTCCCCATCCTTCTCTTCCGCCCCCTTCTCTCTCTTTTTCGTAGCCGCGGGGACACGGCGAGCAACGGCTAAGGTGCTGTTCGCAACCGACCGACCGTCTGTCATCGTCGGCCGTGCGTTTCGCTTCTCTCCATTCACAAATCTCCCCCACGCCGTGCACAACGGCCGCTGTGTTATTGTTCTCGATCGAACGACTTTTACAGAATAGTAAAAATAATTAAATAGCAGCTTAGCAACGCCAGTTAAGAAATCAAGAATTTTAATAAGTACGGAAACGACCTTACTGGCAATTCTTTATTATAATAAAACACAACGTTTCGGTCAGTAATACTGGTACTCTTCAGGTAACAAACTTACAAGAGTGCCTACAAATGTAAGATTCGTCGGATTAGAGATGTGAAAATTAAGTTGGATGTCAGAAATTTCGATGTACAATGCGTCTTGTCGTCAACGTTAGAAAACACATCTTTAATCTGACGAATCTTACATTTGTAGGCACTCTTGTAAGTTTGTTACCTGAAGAGGTCCAGTATTACTAGCCGAAACGTTGTATTTTATCATAATAAAGGATTGCCAGTAAGGTCGTTTCCATACTTATTAAAATAGTAAGAATATCCCGAGTTTCCTTAAACGCGCGGGTAGGAGAGGTCAGCTTAAAAACACGATTACAATCTTGTAGATAGGAGAGACAGCTATTGTTGAAGTACATTTCTTCAGAAATTTAAGTTCCAACTTAATCATGTCGTTTCGCGAAAACACGAAACTCTACTCGACGGGAAGTCCGTCAATTCGTTACAACGATTGGAAACAAGAAACCTTTTTCTTCGGAGATTCATCTTTTCATATGGATTTAAAGAAATTCTATTCGTTGTTTCGTTGGGTCTATTAATTCAACGAAGAAACACGATGTTCCGTCTGCATTAACAACGTCGTTGCTCTTTTGTCGTAAGATAAAAGTGAAGGCCCTTTAATCTGTATACAACAGATTGAAACGCTGCTCGTTTTCACGTCGATTACAACCTTTTCGTCCAGAAAGACTATAACTGACGAAGACTCTTGAGCAGCCGACGTTGATCGTGTGACTATTTCTATCTTCCGGCAAAGGCGTACACTATCGGACGAACATAACGGACTAATGAAAGGAAGAAGCCAAGGAGAGAAAGAAGGAGAGAATCCTAAAGCACTTCGTAGTTTGCGAGCACGGACTGACGATTTAAGAATCAGCTTGGCTCCTTTCTGACCTCGATTCCCGTGGAATCCCTAGAAAGCCTGATCTTAGCTCAAGGTTCGAGCGAGCTACATTCTTCTGCGTTCGCTCCTCAAGTGCATCGCGCTCGATCAAATCGACTCCGGAGAGCGCTTACTAGATTGCTTAGATTTCCGCGAAGTAATCGAGTAAAGCATCTGCATTTTACGTATTCAAACCTGTATCAGAAGCCAGTAAAGCAAGAGACATGCAAGATTTCATGAAATAGTAGATTTGAAATACTATTCTAAATAAAGCATAATTTTGTCTTTCGGAAACGTTAAAAATAGCTCTTCAATCTCGCCAACATACGCGACAAGGTTCCCTTGTATTAATAAAATACGCGAAAAGCTGAACGTTTTTAATTTTACAAATTACGTCTATCTCGAAGCTTATTAACGTCAAAAACGTGATATCCCACGGTTGTACCATTTTCATAAAATTGCAGCTGATGCGCAAATCGTTTTTAGACGATTATTTTCACCGTTATTTGCAACACCTTTTTCTAATTATTCCTTTCTCCATTCTTCGATTTTTCAATAATTGACCCATTTCTCTCCATTATCATAAAAACAAAACCAATGTAGTAAACAACATTCTCGGAAAGCAATGTTCCTCGGAATACAATTTTCAAAGGGCCAGTCGCGACGGAGAGGAAATGTCGCAAAGACATCGCCGGTACATCCTTCGGCAAATGAAATTAAGCGCACGACAAAAACAGGCTCTACTCTTCGTGAAAGCAACGGGGAGACCCGCGACTAGAATTCGGTCAAATGTGAGCGTTACGAGGTGAACGTGAGACGACCCTGGTCCTCCCGGTTGTCGCAACCTCGTTTCCACCCGCCCTTCTCCTTCTGCGAAACCGTCGACGATGGAGAAATCCGACGGAACGTCCTTGCAGGGCGACGAAAAGGGAAAAAAAGGAGTATTCTTGCCGCCGTTGCTCCCACGATCGAAACTCGCTCGCACAAGTGTTTCAATTATTGAAAATTTTTGTGTATCGCAACACAACATTTACATACACAAAAATTTTCAATAATTGGAGCACTATTGTAATAGCATATTCCTGAGACTAAATCAAGTAAAAAATGTCCTGTACTACTTTTTCCTCCGACAAACAGTTATCGAGATATCATAAACTAAACATTGAAAAAGTTATAAATTTTCGCTTGAATATCTCAAAAAGTATTAGTACAAATAAAAAATGTTTCAGATAAAAGTTGTTCATATTAATTAGTAGAATAAGATAGTATAATAAACAATAGGGGGTTCCATTTAAAAAATTGAAGGTGATCTTCACGTGACCTTCAAGCAACTATTCAAGGTAAAACCAATGGTACCATCTTATGTACCCCTTGAAACCACATAACTTTTGTCTGAAACATTTTTGTTTGCTGGGCTTAGTTTTCGAGATATTTTACTGTCCAAGTTAAACTGGGACACCTTGTATATCCAAGATTCTAAAGTAATACTAATCAATTCTCGCAATTAGTTCTGTCGATATTCAGTAACGCAAAGATCATGTGCACTTAAGAGGCACCAACCGAAATGTTAAGTTGCTTAACTACAAAAGAAAACGGTCAAAATTTTTCCCAGAGTAGAGTTACGAACAATCCAAATAATTCGATTACTAATTGTGGGCCCCAAAATGGGTTGCTAACTGTCTTTTTTTCCCCACATGCAATTAGAATTTACATAACGGCGCGACCTTCTGCGCCGTCAATTGTACGTCAGACAATCCGCTTCGTAATGCCCTGTTCTCTTAATATAAGACACGTCTGAAGCTACGTCCGCATACTTGAACTGCGTTTAGATTTCAGCATACGTGCGACCGCGTCTGATTAAAAAAAAAACCGCGATGCATTTCTATCGTTTCCGCGTAGCCACGGCATCGATCGCGCTGTAATTGCGCTTCGTGACAGTACGCATTGTATTGTACCAGACGATCTCTCCGTCGATCGATCTCTCGGTCGGCGCCACTGGCATGAATCACGTTCACATTCAGACGGCGATGCCCGTTCTTTCCTCGAGCGATCCTCGATCACCGGTGAGAGTAGCGGATCTCATTAAGACATCTCAGCGCGGCATAGATTTAACATTGAAAAACGTCGCGAAATACACATCGTGCAGGCAAGCTAAATGATCTCTACGTTCGCTTAAAATATTTCCACCTGCGTATACATCTTGATAAATTCGGCAAAAATTTCGAGCAACGCCCTCGTCGCGCCCACGTCGTGCGCGCGTGATTCAATTTCTAGCGGCTCTCTTAAATTGAACGGCCCGAGAGAGAGAGAGAGAGAGAGAACGTTATGATTCACACCGGAATCCAGATGACGCCGAATAACCACATTCTCTCGTGGAGCGGAGAGGAGGAGGACACGAGGGAACGAGCGTGTAACGGAGAAGAAGAAGAAGAAGAAGAAGAGAGGCGAGCCGCCGCAGATGCGCGTGTATTTATATGCGCGCGGCTAGTGACGTGCGCACGCATACGCCAGCACGCTTACGCACGTACGGAACGCGACACGCAGGCACAACGCCGTCGCGGGGCGCCGGCCGTCTCGCTCGGCGAGGTTCCTGGCGTCAGCCTGTCGGGCCTCCTGGGTCCCTCCTTGAGCTTCTACCCAGTTCGAATCTACGACCCCTCCCTCTCCTCCTTTCTCCCCGACGCGGCGTCTCGCTCGCTCTCGTCGGAGACGCTTTTCAATTATTCGCCGCGTCGCGCTTTAAATTCCAGACTTTAGAAACGAGCCATGATTGGGTCGGACACCGATCCTACTACTTAGCAAGTTACAACCTTACGCGCGCTAATTTTATTTATCTTTCTTTAAATTATTTACTTTTTCATCCCACCGTCGAGAAGATTTCAATGCAGTTCGTGCGACTATTCGCAGAATGTACTTTTAATTATTTTATCTCCTTAGAGCATTATTCGCGCACGTATAATAATTGTTCTTCCGGTGCAAGAGAGATAGCTAGGATTAATAAATTTTGCACAAAGGTTTTAATGGAGGTCTTTCTTCGTTTCACACTCAGCTCTTCATTCGTTTCACACACACTCCTCATTCCCTCGTAAAAAGAGAAAGAGAAATGGTTTCTATTTTTTTTCATTATATATCATATGTACGAATCCCTATTATAAAGTTTGCTTATTCTTTCTCTAAAACTCGCTCCAAAATAAATTTCTCCCCCCTCTCTCTCTCTCTCTCTCCGTCCTCTTGTTTCGCGCGCGTTCTCGTCCTCGCAGATTGGAAATAGCACGAACGCAATTCTCTCTCACCCCGCGAGCACTTTCGCAAAGACACGCACACCAGAACACCGCGATGCCCTCCCGGTGCGTCTGGCAGAATGGCTGGTCCACGTCCGAGTTACGATATCGTCGTCTGCGGCGGCTGCGGTTACGCTAGGGCGTGTTGCGCAAGGTAAATCGAAGAGCTTTCCCTCGACACATAATGGCTGGCACTTAGACATATATTTTTCTTGGCGCAAAAATATCTTCTATAATAACATCAGGAATTTCTTTCCTCTCTCCGGGAGAATCTCGTGTGTCCGTGATTCCGTTATTTCCATTTAATACGATCACCGCGACTCGTGTATCAACTTTTTAACAATCTGCTCTTTCGAAAATTTAACTTGAACATTTTTCGTTCGCGTGAAATTCACCGCCCGATCGCCATAAGGTGTACAGCTCCAATTTTCTTGCGTGCGTCTCAGAAGTAAATTTCCACGCGCGAAAAATCTTATGTGACCCACGCGTCAGCGGATTTATATAATCTTTTAATCGCGATTCTTATTTCGCCAAAGAGCCCTGCGAACTTGGGATTCGACTCGAGAGATTGACGTTGAAAATCCACGTAACTGAATTTTTAATGATCAACGTAAACTTTTATCATCTCTGCCCACGTCAACGCGCGAACACCGTCGTCGCCTGTATTACCCCCGAGCTGCGCGGCCGCTCGTACGCCCATCGACTGGAAATAATACATGCCGACGATCTCTCGCCCTCTCGCATACGCGAGCGACCTGTCGCCCTCCCTTACGCGCGGATGAGTCCCTCGCGATCGGCCTTTCGCGCACGCACGATCTCACGCAGCGACGCGCGTGCACTTTTGTCGCATCTCTGGCCTCGCGCTCGCATGATTTTCGCCGCGATGCACACAGCCGAGGTATCGCCATTCAACGCCTGTGCTAAACTCAATTTAAGAGCCACTAATGTCAACGTCAGTCCCTCGAGACTGTCCTGTTACCCCGCAGGCCCTCGCGTTCCTTCGCGTCGCGGCTTTGAAAAGAAAAACAAATTATTACAGGATACGCAATATTGTGAAGAAAGAAAGTGGCGCTATGTGTATACGGCAATGTTAATTCGTGGGACGCCGTACCGTAACTGTGTATCTCGACGCGCATGCGACATAATTCACGGCGAGGCAGCCTTGAGAGAAATAAATAGACGAAACATTAAAGCGGCCATGAAATCATCTCGAATTAGAGTAGCGTCGTCGCTCGACCGCGCGAGCACGTGCGCTAAACGCGTCGGGACGGCGTCGCATGGCCAATCTCGCAACCTCACGTACGCATATATTCCCTCCGTCTGTCCACGGTCTCTTTACGCGGGAGGATATGTACCATAATACAATACATACTCGCAGATCGGCACATGCGTCAATGGTCAATCTGCCAAGCCGCGGTATCCCGTTCGTGACTCGTCGCTGTGACACGTCGCTTATCGCTAGACAACGTGTCACGGTAGCGAGTAGACTTAATCGAGGTAATTGTGGGGTAAACGTCATGTTCCCCCGGATGATAAGAATAACGCAATTGTAATTTAATGTACTGGCCGCGTTCACCGGAGAAAATTGCTCAGCGAACGCTTGCGCTGATTGGATTACACTTGAAAAATGTAGAAGAATAATTCTATCACAGCACAGAGATCTAAAAGTATCTCTCCGCTGAACGCGGCCATTGTCAGAGCCTGTCAATCTATAACCGCAACTTATCGGCGTTTTTCAATTAAAAAAATTGACACGGGGAAATTCTTTTAAAAATCGAACCAAACTGGCATGAAAGGTGATATATATTTAAGTCACAACGTTTCGATCTCTTTATCGGATCCTTTTCAAGTACAATCTGGAAACACATCACAGAAGTACAAACCGCAATGCGAAGAAAGGAACTTTTAGTACCCATGTGTGCATTACAAAGGAGAAAAAATTGAAAATAAAAGAAGTTAGAAAGTGGAACCTGCGTAGATGCAAAATATACAAAAATGCGTTGCTTAGAAATCGCGATCCCGGCGCGAGTGCGTTTCGCGAGATAATATAAATTAGTTAAGTAATTACACCGCGTATAATGCACATGTTCATCGCAGTTAGATAACAGTTGCATTAGCGTTCGGTTCCGGAGAGAGATCGAGCTCGAGCGCGGCCGCGGCTGGATAGTTTAAATGTCACGGGGAATATCACCGCTCGAGACGATCGATGAATCAACAGCCTAGTGCCAGCCGGCTCGCCAGAGGAGAAGAACGGTGTGTATATCCTACGTGACCCGCAGCCCTTTGCCGTGTCTCTCATCGAGATCGCCGCTGCAGTTTATCATTGCGTCACGAATCGCCGCCACCGCTGCGCTTTTCAACCCGCGCGGCTCCGCGGCTCGCGATCAGCTCGGCCCCTCGTCCGCGATCGTGCTCGAGTTGTCACGAGAAACGTCATAATATCTCGCCGTCTTCGGGGTAATTTCGCCAGGAGAAACAGGCCCGGAATAAATGGTGTACCGAGACATCGACGAGACGTAGCTGCGCTGGCGCGCTCGTTACCGCGCGCTATACAGGGTGTCCCAGGAGGAAAAGTCAATACTCTAGGAGGTGATGGTATCGGTCATTTTAAGCAAAAGTGTTTATATGAATATACGTCCCATTTCCTACTGTTTCCAAGATACAGCTATTTGAATGACTCGTCTATTAATTTTTTTTCTGTACACTTCACCTTTCATCCAACCCCATAAATGTCTGCGGAAATGTGTATATTTATCTCTTATTCCCTATTTATTTCTTATTATCCTTAAATTAAGTTGTATCTTGCTACACCCACAGAAAAATTTCCGGATCCAATGCTATTACACTTCAATGTATCATAAAATAGGACCGATATAGCGCCAATCATATTTATTATAGTGAAAGGTATATTGTAATCTTACATGAAAAATTCCAAAATCTAGAATAAAATGATAGCGTGTATCGTCTTTTGTCGAATATCGTGGTGCCAACTTCGTGCGTTGTAAGATGGAGGGAAAATTTATTCTAAACACAAGAATATAATAAAATACACTAAAGTTACTCTTGTCTCAATATAGTAAGTCAATCTTTTTTTATTCGATAGAGAAGAATGAGAGTTATTGATTTTCTTTGGATATTGCCTAATTTTTATACTAAATGAGGTTGTGAGAAATATAAATGCGTCAAGAATATTCTTTGCCACGGTGACAGAAATCCTTTGTAAGGGTGTATATACACACACGTCGCTGGATCCTGCCCGGATGTATGGCGGAATATCACGTGATCGGGACCGCAAAGATCAAAGGGGCCGGCAGAGGATTTACTAGTGGACCTTCTAGTTACACTATGGTATTGACGTACACGCGCATGTTATCTTGCATTTCCGAGGAAAGAAGAAAATGGTTCCGATGAAACGTCATCGACAAAACGCCTTGTACACGATCGTGCTCTTGCGTCTTTTTTTTTCCAGACAACGCGTTAGTCACAGATACGGATTCGCGCGTCGACCGCAGAAATGGATTCTCCAAATCGCTGTTGGCGAAACGGTGCAGCATAATCCAAATTGGTCGCGTTTACGCACGTTTCGTTTAATTAATTATTGTTGCTGATCGCGCGGCACGGCGAAAATCCGACGCGCCAAGCACGCCGATAATTTATCGCCCGGCGCGGTGATCGATCGCGGAGCGCATTCGATCGATTCCACGCAGTTTTCCGCGTAACGCATGTTAATGAGATCATGGTGGGCGGTAATCCGTAACTCCCACCCTGCGCTTATGCGCCTTGCAACTTCGGCATTACGGTTGCGCAACGTTAAAGGGCATTGCCGTATTACGGTCGCGGAGAGATTCGAGCGATCGTTGAATTTCAAATGAATGCGAAATTAAACGAGCCATTAGAAAGCCATCACGTGTTTAATAGCACGTGCACACGCTGATGGGCAACGAGGCAACGTGGCATTTATTTAGCACGCGGGTCCCCGCGCACGGGATCTCCGCGTCGAAGAAAAATAATAATTCGAGATGAGCTTCGTCCGCGCTTCATCATTTCGTCGTGATAAATCATTAGCGCACGTTTACCGGTTCGCTACGAGCAATTATAATAGCGTTGCGCGGTCAAATATGAATGGTAATGAGCGTTGAATTATCGATGGAACGCGACGGGATGCTCGCCGCGCATACGAAATCGCGGGTCGTCGATTGCGATCCAACTTCTTTTTGCGTCGGTGCATCCGCACGTGCAAGTACGCAGTCGTGCGTATATCGATATATCGAATTCATCGAAATTCGCGCTGGCGTGAGGGCAGATGCTGGACTGGCGTAAATGTTCTCGGAAATAGTAATAACGCTCAATTGTGTAGTGCTATATACAGTAGGAGATGAACGATGCCCGCGCGCACTATCAAGGCTGCGTTTCGTAAAAAAAAAAGCCAACGCGTTTTCTCGCATTCTCGCGTTATCGGGCGCCAAATAATTCGCGACCCCCCTCTCTCTCTCTCTCTCTCTCTTTTCCGTCGTTTCTTCTAGAAATCCGTCTATCTTATCGGAAATGACTCAACCGCCGCTATTGAGCGCAACATCGGCAGAGATCTTGATTCAAAGGCTACGCCATGAATGGAAACTATGCGGCGATTCATGACTCGACTCCGCTTCGTGGAAGTTATTATTCCGCGGAATAATTCGCGAGTATTCTGCGAATCCCATCTTCGCGCGGTTGAAAACGACGCGGCCTATTATCGTATATCTTTCGAATCCATTCATCGCCAGGCACATTAGGGAGAAGCCGAGTCCATACTTCCGAGGAAAGCCTTTTTTTTTAAGAGAGAATCGTATTGCAGTTCTCGCCAATGAATGGGAATAATAAATCGCGATAATAACTTCCGGTGACGCGGAGAAAAGGTAGAGAAATACAATTAAATACGTATTATCGCGCAATTTTGAAAAATATCCGAACGCGCGAGAACAACTGGACGATATTTAGTGCAATTTCAAAATTAACGCGCGCGCTCCGCTAATTAACGTCGCTGGGGCGCGGACATTTTTGCACGAACGCAATTAATTACATCGCGCCAGTTTTGTTCCCTCGATTCCGCGAGCATCTCGGGTATAAATAGAGCAAGCGTCTTCTCAATTACGCGACAACTTGCGCCGAATGCAAAACGTTTGCCTCCGCCTCGACTTCCTCGCGCGCGTTATTCGTTCGAGGGTGGAAAGTTGTCGATGGTAATCGCGGTAGGTGACAGTAATAGGAAAAACGACATAAGAGCGGTGCTCAACAGGTGGATATAGCGTGAGCGACAGTCATTCGCGGCGTTTATTTCGCCTTCTATGTAACAGATAGCGACTACCATCGAGCAGCCAGCCTAGCAATCATCGTGACGTGACCTAAGTAAGCTTAACTGACCCAACCTTACGCCGACCTGTTGCAAGCCGTGCATTCGATATTGCCTCTCGACGTACTCGGGCGAGCGCTCGGGTATTCGCGCGAATGTCACCGCAGGCGAATGATTTATAGCGTCGTTTTATTGTCAAAGCCTTCGGATAATTATTTCTATGTACTGGCGATTACGTTAATTGTCGCCTTCGAGCGTGATCGCCAAACGTGATCGATCGTCGCGGCGACATGTAAAATGTAAATGGCAATGCCGCGGAGATTAGCTCGTTGTCGACATTTCAATGTGGTCGACACGGTCGCAATGCTCCGCGGCACTGCGACATTATGTAATAGCGCTCGTTCGTTAATAATCGCGCGCTAGCGACGTCCCGCGTCTACCGCGATATCGTATTCTTACGAAAATATGTTATCACGTGTAATTGGATGTCACTGACGCGAGTGTGCGTTAGCCTTTGCCCGGGAAAAGCTGTTGCGCGAGTCGATTTTGTATTTTTACGTGATACTAAGACACAATCTCGAGATAATCCCGGCGTGTATTACGCGACGTCTGGCGCCAGCTTGTCCGCGCGTTAATACATCTCAGACAATCGAAACCCCGCGGACTATTATTACGCGAAGAAGAGAAGTGCGACGCAAAGCCGAAGCCGTCCGCGTACGCCGGAGACATTAATAAGCGCTTAAAATCGCGTCTGGCGTTGATAAGAATATTAAATCATCATGATAAATGAATCGCTTCGTAACCTTTTACACCGTACGTTACTTCTCGGACGCTACTTGGGATTTTAATGTCACCTCGGTCTCTCTTTCTCCCGGTACGGCTCCATTAGTACACCTCTTCGCGTCCGCTTCAATCGCTCGTATTTCCTCCTTTCTTCGCAATATCGAGAGACACCGAGCAGGTGTCTCTTTGTGGAATGCGAGCGAGGCACTTTGACGCGGGAGAAAATACAAAGGGCACAAAAGCCGCTTCTTTTTTGCGGTCAGTGCCGCGTTCACCGGCTTTCGGGAATACGTCTCCGCGTCCTCGCTTCCGCGAGAACGATTGCGACAATTGTACGCGTGCCCGCGCAAGACGCATCTGCGCCCGGCCGGCCGATTGTTAAATCCGCGTCGATACCGCCCGAGCGGCCCCTCATTCACGGATCCCGCGTTTGTCGCCGTCTCGCACGCATGTCGGCGCGATTACATTCAACGAAATCTGGACGCGCGCGACGCAGCCTCTCGGCAGCTGTCGTGCTCGCTCATACAGGGTGGATGCGAAATAGGCGACGGTATTCTGGGCAGCCTGTCCGTGCCTATGAATAAAACACGACGAGGACCCCGCGTAAATCTAGATCTCCTAGGATGGCCGGTTTCTTCGCCAGAATTTCGCTGGACTTTATTTTGAGTGACACCAAAATTACGCGCTCGCGTCCGCTCGCCGCTGGCGGACGCAAAATCGTCGAATTGTTTAAATATTCCTTGATAAATGACCTCGTCTGTTTTGTCCCGCTGATGCATAGCAAGCCCAGAACGACAAATGCAACGATTCACTCAGCAACGCGCAGCATCGCGCCTAATTCAAGTTTCTCTCTCTCTCTCTCTCTCTCTCCCCCCCCCTCTCCTCTCCTCTGCCTTTCTCTCTCTCTCTCTCTCTCTCTCTTTCGCCGCGACAAGCTTGGACGGTTCGCGGAAATTTCTTAACGAGCGCGAAACTAGGTACGTCGTCGGTCCATTCATAAATTCCGGGTATCATGGCAATTTCGTTTCGCGAGTTTCGCGGCTAGTGGGCACGACTATAATTGGAGTGACTCGCATTAAATTAGAGAGAAACTCATGCGTACGTGGAAAGCAGATAGAACGGTGAAGACGACATGCCGACGTTGGTGCACGTACCTTGAAATCGTCGAGCGATCCTCACGTGAGCGCAATTTTATTCGCGCTCGCCCGAATTGGCGAGTATTCACGTCGAATATTTTTACGATTTTTTAATATCGTTGAAATAACGATCGCCGGTCGTTCTTATTATAATTATGAGAAATATATCACTATTCTTATAAGATGGTCCTCTCTATCAAAGAGTAATTAGTTATTAAGTTTAGGTTTAGGTGTAGTTGTAAGTATAAGTATCTAGGATAAGTGGTATATGTGGAGATATGTATAAGATTGTACTATTCTTATATCACCAAACTCGCGAGACACTCGTCTATTCCTGTAATGTGAGGTGTTGCAAATTGCTCACGTTTTGGCAGATTACTTGTAACGATTGCTTTCACTTGACAAGAATGTGAAATTGCTCAGTCTTTATCGAGGCATGTAAGTCGGGTCTAAAATAACCTTTGTCTAAAACATTTTGCCGGAAATGAAGAAAACATGGCGCACAAACTAGATAGGATTTCTCGACAAACGAGAAATTGAGAAACCTTTGTTACTCCCTGGCTCTCGTTTGACATTGTCTTAACATTGTCTTACGACAATATCGTTGTCAATGACCGTGTCTTTTTTACTATTCCAGCACCGTCATCGCGGGTAGGGGCTCTAACTGCGCCACGTTCGAAGTGCAGGATGTCTGACGCGTCGGAAGCGACGCTGAAAATTCCGGAATGTCAATGGACAATAACGATTACCATGTCCGCGCAACACGGAGACCTCATTGAGGCGGGCACCACTGTACACGTGGCGCCTCATTCATGAATTCCAAGTACAACCGCAAATTGGATTCGCCGGTTACACCGCCCTGCCAGAGGCCTGTAATTGCACGCGCTCGGTCCCCCCGGTGCATACGCCAGGCGTCGAGATCGCCGTACCGTCTTCTTCCTCTCGACAAACTATCGAAATGCAGTTCAGTCGATACAACGTACGATCAGACCCGAATTATACAGTCGAGTGTTTTAACGACGAAATAAAACAATTGTCGAGAATTAATACGGCAGCTTTTAGAATGATCAGTGTCATCGATTTGAGGATTATTGTCGACAAAGCGTCTCGAATTTGAATTCACGTTATCTAATCTAACCAACACTTTTAGACGGAGCAACTTCCCGATATTGCGTAGTTATCTCTTAAATGACCGGAATAAATTCGAAGATTCTCGGTCGAAGGAATCTTGGCGCTTGATTAGCGCAATAAATTATTAGGAGGTCGATTAAACGCAGTCATCGTTCGGATTAGTGTCAAAGATCGAGGTGGAAATAAAATCGCTGCTAATAACGGCTTAATGATCCATGAAGCGGAAAAGGCGAGCCATTAGCCTTGATGCTCTTTCGAGATACGAAGAGACGGCGTTAAAAAATTTGCGTTACATTGATTAAATAATTAACGAGGTGAAAATTATACTCCCCGCCGGCCTGAGATGTCTATCGCGTACGTATGACTTGCGCGTAATTAGCGAGCTCGCCATGCTCGCCGACAACGGATCTAATGATACGCTTACTTAATTCCGCGCGTTCATTCGGTCTTATCGATAGGGGAAGTTTCGTCGAGAGATGCGCTCCACCTCGTTATTCTTTTATATACTTTTCTTTTCCCTGTCTCGCAACGAGTCGCGCACTCAACGAGCCGTGGCAACGTGTAATTTGATCGTCTAGTTGGGCCGTTCATGCGAGCAGGGAAAAGCCAAATAGGCCTGGATGTGAAACACGGCACTTTCGTGTACGCTAAGGGACACAAACACCCATTAAACTCAGCGTGATATCATCGAAGGGTAGAAATAAAAGGGGGGAAAAAAGGGAGAAAGAGAGAGATATCCGGATCCTTTTTGATGAATTAAGCCGCCACTACCATTAAGTCCCATTCAGCCGCGGCAGTTACGACTGCTGGTACGCAATTTGCGCCGGTGACGAGTCACATACTTGACTCGAACGCTAATTGTAAGTGACCGCTCGTGGGCGTCGCAGGAAGCTGCGTGTGGTGCGTGCACACACGAGCGATGCAAGCGTCACGTCTCCGGAAAAAATCGTACGGCGCACGAGCCGCGGGGATCGCGCCGTCGCGTCGGCTTTCCTGACGTTTGATTCGCCAAAAGCTTCCGTTCGTGAGAATTCAGTCCGGTTTGACGTAACCCGCAGAGCGCAAAGGGAATAATAAAAGAATGGTATTTCGTGGAAATGGCATTGTTGCACGAAAGGTGCAACACAAATCCACTTGACGAGTGACGCGAGATACCGACAGACGCATCGTACGGCGCGTTATGAATTAACTCGTTATGAATTAACTCTTTCTCCCGGCAATGCATGTCATGTTTCTCCTCTCGTGCGTGCCCATCTTCCCAGGATTTCATGGAACGAAACGTAACAGTAGCCAGGATTGCTCTAATTGTACCTGGAATCGGTAAGAACGACTAGAACTCGTCTTTCGCGCTTTATTTGCATCGTTTCTTACAAACGCCGTCACGCCTACTGTCTCAAACTCATTCAGCTTTCTACTTCTTCTCTTGCGTCCTAAAAGATTCGTAATGACACGTTTGATATCTCGCAAATTACCGATCAACAGCACAGCGCATAATATTGGATATAGAATCGTTTCCCACGTATCTATGTGGGCGTGTCGTTCAAGGTTTTACGAGGCTTCTGCTTTCCCTTGACATTTTAAAAGCCAATTTTAAGTGTTGCATTTAAAAATTGTGATCTAAACTGTTCATACCTAACGTAATCTCAAGTTTATCTTTTGCCCTATCAACTTTATATGTTTAATTTAACAATCGACGTATCATACCATTAGCATGCATTTTTTTCAATGTACACACATATCGCATGCCTTTCTGTATAAATTATCGTTTATTACAAATGCGAGAAGCACAAAAATATAATTTTATGCTATATAATTTTATACTATTATGTCAAACGATCGCGCGAAAGACCAAGATTCAATTACGTCATTAAATCTATTTATATAACGATGAAACTGTACGTTCATATCGATTTTTTAATTCGATTTCAATTTTCAAATTTTCAATAGTATTTTGAACATTTAAACGTTACTACGCGTACGATAAAATAATAATGTTCGATGCTAATGAAACGATGTTATAATGCGCATCTGCATTATCGCATTATCGGAAATTAGCGGACGTTAAAATCACTAAATTTCCGTAAATGTCAACACGAAGATGATTTACTCGTGAGGTAGCATTAATTATTGCCGATCAGCGTCGGCACATGTAAATTGTAGATTCGTATGACCAATGTGCACTGTGGGATTAATTACAATTTCCGGGGAGATATATAATTATAAAGCTTTTACGCGCCAGTAGTCAAGAAAGGTAAACATAGTTAACGAATATTATTAGTGTCATTATCACTAAATATTGCCCGATACTGATGTGAATAATGTATAGTGAAGTGAATAAATTTCTACGTTTATTTTGTAAGTGACAAGGTCTAAGATGATCAGAGGAACAAAGTCGAGGGGGAAACCGCTGACAAAAAACTTGTACAATGTCCACTAATGCCCAGTGGGCGTTACTTTATCTTATTTCATCTTATTTTATCTTTATAATATCCCAGCAAGACCTAAAGCCCAAACTAATGCCCAAAAACGCCTAGTAATGCCGCAAACACCACAATGCCCTCAGCGGTTTACCCCTCGGATAAAGTTCCTTCAGTTTAAACTTATTCGCCACTCCTCCGCGAACAACTATCCAAAACAAACTATATCTGGCGCGAAGATGTCAATAGACTGTCGATTATGCAATGGAGCGCCTCCTCCGCGATCATACCGGATAAGATAAATAAAACGAGCAGCATCTCGACTGCGACTTATCCCGCATAATTTCATTTCCGTCTCACCGTCTATTAAAACGCCTCCCTTATTTCTTCGGTATTAAAACTTTCCGCCAAGTATCGGGGACCGATTTTATCACGGCTCCCGCAGCGCGCGCGTACCACCTATACAGACTTCCCCGTGGCATAATTCAGGTTAAAAGCCCAAAGAATTCCCGATTAGTTCGCGCAACTTCATTTCCTCTCTGTCGTCGATTTAAACGAACCCCCCGCGGCGTTCGCGCAACACACCGTAATCAAATAAATTCCGATTTCTAGAAAATATCTCAGCCATTCTTTGCTCTAATAAAATACGTTCTTATTTCGTTCGCGAGCTTGCGCGGATCGATACGCTGTATCTCGCAGAATTTACATAAATCTCTTTATAGGCGCTTAATAAAATTATTTCATCATGACATATATGTATTTTCGATCATCTACTTTGTCGAATAATGAGGTGTAAAATAGCTGCGCGACGATAAAATAGCTCAGTTCAATACATATCAAGCACTTTCATAAATTCTTACCTGGCTACAGTTCTATACCCGATAATATTATATGCACCCTCAGAAAGGATTTTCGTTACTGAGACACAAAATTTTCTTGACGCATTTATATTTCTCTCACAACCTCATTTAGTATAAAAATAAGACAATATCAAAATAAAATCAATAATTCTTATTATCTTTTATCGAATTAAAAAAGATTGACTTGCTATATTCAGACAAGAGTAACTTTATATATTCTTGCGTTTAGAATAAAATTTTCCCCCATATTACAACGCACGAAGCACCACGATATTCGACAAAAGACGATACATACTATCATTTTATTCTAGATTTTAAAATTTTTCATTTAAGATTAAAATATTCCTTTCTCTATAATAAATATGATTGGCGCTATACCGATCCTATTTTATGATACGTTGAAGTGTAACGGCATTGAATCCGGAATTTTTTTCTGTGGGTGCGCAAGCCAACAGAGCCCATTATTTTAGAAGAAAATTTAATCAAATAAAAACGTGCGTCTTTTGTTTGTTAATCCTTTTAAAAATAAATAAGAAGTTGTTTGATTAAATCGCCCGTTGTTACAAGCAAAAATTGCAAAGACCTTTTATGGCATACATTTAGTTTTGACTTTTAACGGCAGATATTTCGGAAGCTGGTGACGAAACCGGCAAACGTCGTATCTTCTTAGCACGAGATCAGATAGAAATACGGAAGATAGCGCCAGGAATAGAAAATTCGAGAATTTTTCGCGGAGAATCTTCGGAAAAGAAAATAACGAGCCGATGGAGCTCTTTGTGTGTACGTAAATGAGTAACACGCACACTCGATCTACTCTGTCGTCGGCTCGTCGCACGCGCACGCACGCGTGCGCGCGTAACGAAGGAAGCATAAAAGCGCGATATGAATAATGTAAGCTTATGTAACATCCCGTGTCACCGGGAATGTTATAAATAGCCCTTGCCAGCGACCAATGCCGAGATCGCACACAACGTACGTGACATATCCGCGCGCGCGCGCGCGCGCGTATACCTCTTGCTGCATTCGATTTTGTCGATTCAACAAGGGCATCCGTATCCGATGACACGCATTCGGTTCTTTCGAAATAAACGAACTGCACGATATATATATATATATCTCTCTTTAAAATGGAAAAAATTATGTAATAAAGTTATATCTTAATTATATTATTATATAATAGAAAATATGGCGAGAGAAACTCACAAATATTGCAAATTCTCTAAAATTCTCTATAATAAAAAACTTCATATAAATTGACTAGAACAATGTGCAAAAAGATAATGTAAGATTGCAAAATATGCTGCGATAATGTTAAAAAGAAATTGTAAACTGGAGAAAATGATTTGCCTTTCAGGAAATGTTTCGTGCCAAATTTCGGTTGTAATGTAATCAGTGATTTCGTCACACAATTTCTCATTCGATTCAGACAATGACCGGATGTCTCGGGGTCCTCGAACTTCGAATTCAATTCAAATTTTCATAAGCGAAAAACGCAAAACATACTTTATCGCATGAAAAAGAAAGATAGAACTAACACTGCGAGAGGTTAAGTCGAAGACCTGATGAAATATGATAAAACCAGAAGTGACTCGACCGACATAGTTAATCCGCGCACTGAAAGTTGCATATTGTTACAC